CATAGCTGTCCGGAGTGACAAGGTCTCATTAGTCTGCCATAGCCTAGACCTGTGAAGGAGGAAGAGGAAGGTGGCCATGGCTATGGTGGACCTCATATGGAAGCCTGAAGTAGAAGAGGGATTCGGACATTGATTCTGGTTCTGCTGTTCAATTTATTGTTGTTCTTTCATGAGTTGAATAAGAGAGGAAGAGATAAAGAGGAGGAGGTTGTTGAGCGAAGAAGAAGAGCTTTGTTTTGGTCTATGCCGAAGTACATCTTCTTCTTCTTCTCTAATTCTTCTTCTTCTTCTTTCCCTCTCTCTCCTCTCAAGTTCAATTATTTCTTTTGCATTTGGGCAGCATTGTACTTTCTGATGGTTGTGGACTTCAAATTGGCCAGGATCGTAACATTATTTGTTTTCTCTCTCTCTCTCTCTCTCTCTCTCTCTCTCTCTCTTGCGCGCGCACGCGAGTTTTCACACATCACAGTTGTGTTTGGTGGGGTTATTAGGGGTTCTGGAATCCGGACCCTTTTTTTTTTGTGCGGGGTCCCGACGACCCCCGACCGGCAGGTGCCGGCCAGGCAAGGGCCACTGACCGTTGGGGGTGCAACACTGCCGTGTTCTCTATTTGGGTCTAATAATTGACTTCCCTGAATAACTGCTGTCTCCCCCCACCTGTGTCACACTGCCATTACCCCCTACACCCGAGCTGAAATACGGACATGACCACTTGCATCCAATTTCGGAGAAGCCAGATAAACAACCCCCACTTGGGAGCTCCCCCCCACCATCCATATGACAGAAGAAAAACATCACAGCAACTACCAAGACGTTAAACAATGATGATGCAGACGATGGTTCTCTTCCTTTTTTTTTTGTTGGGAGCTATAAAGATAATAATCTGAACCAGATGCCAATGCTGAGTGGAAATAATTATTCGAAAGATTCAGTCACGGAAACGGTACTACATACCACACGGTCTCTGAATCTCTCCGTGACCTGCAGGTCAATGTTCTTCTTCTTCAGCCTATCGAACACCTCCTTCAGCATAATGTCTGAGATGTCCTTGACCTCGGATTTCGTCAACTGTCTGAAAACAATGATCTCGTCCAGCCTATTCAGGAACTCAGGCCGGAAGTACTGCTTCAGCTCCTCGTTCACCAGAGTCTTGATCCTGTTATAGCTGCTGTCCTTCTCGTCGAAATCCAGCCGGAAACCCAACCCACCTCCACCCTTTTCGATGACAGAACTTCCGACGTTTGAAGTCATAATCAAGAGCGTATTCTTGAAATCCACTGTTCTCCCCTTGCTGTCTGTCAATCTTCCATCTTCCAGAATCTGCCACACACACCTCACTCTCAGTATGCGGAATAGGCTAAGCCGAAAAAGGGGGCGGAGAAGAGGGGGGCACACACACACACACACACACACACACACACACACACACACACACACACACACACACACACACACACACACAGAGAGAGAGAGAGAGAGAGAGNACACACACACACACACACACACACACACACACACACACACACACACACAGAGAGAGAGAGAGAGAGAGAGAGAGAGAGAGAGAGAGAGAGAGCTGATTCTGTGAGAACCACGAACACTACCGTCTTCACCCGAAAATAACACCCGGGCGTTATATTAAACTTACCCTAAAAAAGTCAGATCGTATTTTTACTCACTTTTTTTCCGGACATCAAGCCTTCTAGATATAACACCAAGGCATTCTACTTCAATAGAAGGCCCGGACGTTATATTCGAGTAAGGCCGTGTAAAATGTCGTTCTTTTCTATGTTGGCCCGTCGCCCGGCCGGCATGCCCGGGCCAGTTGGGCAGAGGGGGGATCGCCCAGCAAAACCAGACGGGTCAGAAAAGAGGCAAGGATTTCAAAAAACAAAAAAAGGACTTCAGGCCAGGACTGCGCTTGGCCTAAGCAGTCAGAAGCAGGACTTAGCTCCAGTTTTGGTGATGGGTCATCCAGGGGGGGTTGGGGGGTAAAAACAGTGACAGAAGGGGCTAAAAGGGTACATTTGGACTCGTGCTTTCTCATTTATTCTTTTTATCTTAAACTTAACAAGGAATTTCGAGGTGGCGCTCGGCCAAAAGTCATTTGTAACTTTGTATTGCAATTTTACACAATATAGTAATTTTTATTTTTTTTTTGATTTTTTTGAATTTGTTTTATTTTTAATTTTTTAAATATTATGTGCTGGCAATGACTTGCTGATTTCGACGGCCGAGACTGACTGCGAGGTTGTACAGCATGTGCTGTGTGCTTGCTGTGTTTTTTTGTTTGCACTGAGGGCCGCCCACTGTTCTAAAAAGAGTTTAGACTAACAGCAGTAGGGGCTGAGTGGTTACCGGCCCTAAGTGGCCCTGAACCCTAAGTGCAGCGGTAGGACCGATTTCATAGAGGCCGAGTAGGCCCTAACTGAAACTGTACCGGTAGGCCGTAGGCTAGGATAGAGTAGACTCTACAAGTAGGTTTAGGTAGGACCGCTTAGGACTTTTGGCGGTTCATTCTTGCGAAGCAGGGTTTGGAGAAGCCAAGCAAGTTGGTGGTGGCAATTGTCTACAGCCAGCATCCTGAGACCCTTGCTGTGGACGGCAGCCATAGCCTGCCTTCTGAAGGTTGCCGGAGCTGGGGCGTCCTCAGCGCATCTACCCCTGAGGGTATCTGCGTCGGGCCAGGCTATATCGAGGCTCCTCACTGGGTGTTTGTGGGTGGCGGCACCCATAGCTGCCGGGTTCTTCGTCAGAGTTGTTCATCGGCACTGAAGACTTCAACGCAGGATCTGTTCTTCATCTAGGTGGTTGGCGCTGGCCTTTGGGAGGCTGTTTTGGTTGTGCGCTACTAACTGGGTGTAGGGTAGAGAGTGGAGTGTGGGGTTCTGATGGTGGCAAGATACTGGAACAAACTCTGTAACGATATCTGGTTCAATTGGCTCTTCGTCAGTGTGAATTTCAATTGTTATCCTCGCAGGTTCTTCTTGTGATTGGTTGTTGGGAGTCTGTCAGAGAGTGAGAAACACTGACTGTCTTCTTCCCATCTGTGCATAGTTGAACTTTCGCTGCCTACTCCGATCTGTGTGCAGTGTGGACTCTGTCTCCTCTCCCCCTTCTCTTATGCATGTATGGGCGTGTATGAGACTGTCTGTGTGTGAGTGGCGGTAAAAATCGTCAAACAACCAAATTCATAACAGTTGGTATCGGAGCAGAATTGGAATTAGAGCAGCGAGGGTTGAGTGCAACGGAGGCATCTTCTTCATCTGGCGATATACTGGCGGGAGGTTCATGGCGATTCATCTTCCCCAGTACTGAGTCAGAAGGAAAGAAGATTTCAAGCGGTGAAATCCGGAGTTCAGTGTGTGTACTGAGCAAGCGCACTGAGCCTGTCAGGGCGCTTGTTAGGGAGTGGCGAGAACAGGGTCAATTCGCCATAACCAACCCTGAGGGCAGGATAGCGAATTGCCTCAGAGTGGCGGATCACCCCTGAGGACTTTAGGGATCACTGAGCGGCTTCATCCCTGAGCAGCGCTGAGGGAGATTGACAGTCAATATCAATCTTGGGAGAAAATAACCCCCTCTGGGGCTATTTCTAGCATCAGCGGTTGAGGGTACCCGTGGCGAGATAATTGTTTGTTGGCGGTTGAGTGCCACAGGGTCAGATTCAGGGAATCTGGCAGGAAGGGTCGCAGCGCTACAGGATCCTGAAGAGGATCAACAAATTTGAAGTGGTTTTGCGCGTGGAAGACAGAGGACGAAGCTCTGGAAGGAATTGGCGAAGTGAGGGTATTAGTCTGCCATAGCCAGATCTTCACCCAACTCTACAAGGAACTCTGAAAGTGAGTCCGTTCCATGCACCTACCTGTATAGCGATTCAGATAGGATTAGATTAGTCAGTAATCATGGTCTATCTGTCTGCCAGTGACTGGATGTGAAAATCGCACACTGCATGACAGCCATAGCCATCTCTCCCCTACCTTTCTCTGCTCATTTCTATCCCTTTGTTGACTCCTTTCCATCCAAAATTGTTATGTGACTGCCCTACTGCATTGCGCTCGAGTTGGGATGCTCATACTGAGAATTCTGCACTCAAAAAGTAGTGATACTGTGAATTGCAGTTTTGCGCTGAGTCTAATTATAGCCTGTGCTACTTAGGGTCAGTCATAACTTCAATTCTGCTCGTCAGAATTCAATTCTATCAGTTGCCAGTGAATCGCAATCCAAAAATAGTCAGTACTGCAGAAGCGCTTGATGGGATTTCTAGCATTTCACTGGAAACAATGAATACAGTACTTCGCCATACCCTAGGGAATAGCTGCCAGAGTCATCAGGGTTGATATTAGAGTCTAGGCTAGGATTCAGGGTTTTTTACTGAATCGCTTTGCTTGTTTGATCATTCGTGTTTGTACTTGCCGTGTTCTTTCATTCTCACTGACCACTCTTGTTTTCTAGTGGGCTCTGGAAATCTAGTGTTTCTCTGGAAGAATAGTGGATTGTGTCTGCTAACTCCACTGTGGTTCAGGGTCAGTAAAAGGAAATCGTGTGAATGATTTTACTGGACTATCTGTCAGTCTAACACCTGACCCCAGAGAAACCATTCTAACCCACACCGTTTGTTGCCTATTCACCCACCTACCTCTGTGTCTGAGACAACAGCGATTTCTGAGTGTCTGCAGGAAACTGAAAATCGCTGCATACTCCTCTGCTTGTCTTTTATTTATTGTTGTTCTGAAAGTGGAAAATGGCGGATCAGGGTGCTCAGCAGCAGCCACAGGTGGCAGTGGTGATGAAGGTGGAAGAACCACAATCTTCTACCTCCACCCCTACTACCCCTCTGACTGCTACTCAGCAGAAGGAGGAGCTACAGGAAAGATTGCAGCAGCAGCAGGCGCTGCTACTAGCAGAGTTGGAGAGACAGGAAGCAGCTGAGCTAGAGGCTGCAACAAATACTTCCAGAAGGGAGTACCTGTTGGAGCAGCTAAACAAGGTCCTGACAGATGACCGTTGCTCCCAGGTGAATAAGAACTTGGTGGAGTGGGCTCTTCTGGAGCACAAGGCCACCAGTTCTTATTTCACTAACTGGGACGATCGCATCGGCCGTCTGGAGCGCAGAGTGGATGATCTGGCAGCTCAACAGTCTAAGATACTGAAAGCAATTCAGGATCTGACTGCTCAACTGTCAGCAGCCAAATTGATTGTTCCCCAGTCTCCTGCCTCCTCATTGAAACTCAAACCTTCTCCTTCCCCTTCTTCAACTCCCTCTGGTTCGCGTCATTTTTCCCCTTCACCATCTCCTTCCCAAAAAGCCTCAGCCAAACCCACCTTTGCTGCTGTTGTTGCAGGGGACCAGAGAGGTCCCAAGATCCCTGCCCCCAACAAATTCAGAGGGGATGACCCCAAGACAGATGTTGGGGACTGGGCTGCAGGGACTAGGGCCTACTTGAGGGGCTTTATATGCCCAGAATAGACAAAGGTGGCAACGGTTCTGGGACTGCTGGAGGGGCCTGCACAAAAGTGGGCTACCTCTACCTCCAGCGGCCTGCAGAAAACCATGGAGGATTGGGCTGTGGAATTTGGGGCGGACAGTCTTCTGCAGGCTCTAGAAGACCGCTTTGCAGACAAGGAGCGGGCCCGCAACTGCTGACAAGATTGCTCGCTTGGGGCAGCAGCGTTACAACGGATCCCTGCAATCTTTATTTGCAGAGTTCGAGCAGCTCACTTCCACACCTAGTTTGGTCATGTCTGCAGATGACCTACTAACAAACTTCTACAGGGCAGCCCCTGAGAAGTTTTTTGTGGCTTTGTACAACGCTGGGCACAAGGACTGGAGATCCTTTGGCCGTGCAGCCCTGGACATGAAGGCAAAACTTCATGTCCAGGCTCCCTCCTCGGACAGGAGGAAAGGAGCCTTCCCTCGTGGTGGTAGAAAGGGAAAGGCAGCCTTTGCACACGCAGGGTCTGCATCAACTTCTGATTCAGATTCCCAGGCTGATACACCATCAACTGGGACTGGATCAGCCGCTGAAACAGATGTTGCAGCGGCCCTGACTCAGGCTGTTCTGGGAGTTCTGCAGCAACAGAAAAGATTCTCCCTCACCATAGCCTCAGCTAGTGCAAAGGGGAAGGACAAGGGACGTCGACCTTCCTCCTCCCTGCGCCCGAATCCGCCAAAAGACGTCCGTATGCCAGCTGACCCACTCAATCCCTCCACTCTCCCTTGGCATGACCTCAAGATCCAGGAGGGAGTGTGGAGAAGAAGAAAGGAAAGAGGGGTCTGCCTGAGATGTGAGGGACAACACTTTTTAAAGGACTGCCCT